GTGTGTGTGTATGTGTGTGTGTGTGTGTGTGTGTGTGTGTGTGTGTGTGTGTGTGTGTGTATAAAGATAGAGAGAAATAGAGGGGGACAAACAGAGGTGATAGTATTATGTGATGGTCTGGTGGGACTCCTACTCTCCCCACACAGTAACTAGAGGAAAGTTTGTCTCATCTCTTACTTAGACTTCCAGTTCTCTTTAATTACTATGATGAATGGTATATGTCAGGAAGTGTGTGTGGCTGTGTTTCCTCATGTGTATGTGTGTATGACTGCTGTGTGGTGGCCCCGCCCAGTAGCAGCAGTTGATGATAGCATGCAGACGCGCGGGAAGGTATTTTGAGTGGGGGTGCTGAGGTGCTGGACTCCAGTGAACACTATTACGGGCACTATAGAGCGCGCACAAAAGCGCGAGCACCAGGGGCGCTACAGTGGGGAGTGATGCAGTAGAACATTCCACTGTAGCGCCCCTGGTGCTCGCGCTTTTGTGCGCGCTCTATAGTGCCCGTAATAGTGTTCACTGGAGTCCAGCACCTCAGCACCCCCACTCAAAATACCTTNAGCCTCCTTTAGCTTAGCGGTGGTGACGTGAAGTCATGTGACCGTGCTGTAGTTCCTTTATAGCCCAACATTAGCCGCCTTTAGCTTAGCGGTGGTGGCCTGAAGTCAAGTGACCGTGCTGTAGTTCCTTTATAGCCCAACATTAGCCGCCTTTAGCTTAGCGGTGGTGGCGTGAAGTCATGTGACCGTGCTGTAGTTCCTTTATAGCCCAACATTATCCACCTTTAGCTTACCTGTGGTGACGTGAAGTCATGTGACCGTGCTGTAGTTCCTTTATAGCCCAACGTTAGCCGCCTTTAGCGAGGAGGCTGATGTGATGAAAGGAGGTGGATGGAGGAGGTGGAGGAGGCGGATGGGGAGGAATCATAAGTGACTGCAGGAGAGAGAAGAACCATTTTCAAATTGTGCGGAAATTGAAGCTGCTTTCCTATCCTAGAATTAAAACATATCTTATCGTGGTGACACTTAGCTCTTCTGTCCGTTCCTTCCTAAGCGAAATTGACAATTTGGCCGCAACCTAAGTATGGGTTTTGTATCCTTACACTTAGATAATTAAGTTATAATGTTGTTCACCTGGCATAATAATAATCCTCAGTCCCTGATTCAAACAAACAGTAGAGTGTCGGGTCTGCATTTGAAAGCAATGCTCTTACATTCATCGTGAAAAAACACCAATACATATTCCTTAACAATGTCTGACGATACTTTTACTCAGTTTCTTCATTTTACACGGATACAAAAGTACAATGCAAGGAAGCAGCATTTACTGCAAGATACCCCGCACCAGTGAGCCTTTCAATAACATCTGGCTTTTACAGCTTTTCAACACTTTCTATTTATCCTCATATTCCTATTTCATTTTCTCTTCTGTTCCCGCTTTCTCAAACACCCTCACCTCCTCAGACAAATGTCACATCTCCCGTTTCTTTATCTCCCCAGAGACAAAGTCCTCTCAATGTCGTACAGATGTGAGAGCACGAATTGCCCGAACTTATATCCTTACCGCTCGCTATCTATGTCATTTTAATTCCCAGTTTTTCTGAGCTCATTCCTAGAAATGTGCGACCTTGTCACCGGGGCAGTAACTTTGTGGCAGTATAAAAGCTTATCTGCGACTTTTCTAAAAGCTGCGTTTACCGTGAAAGGACAGGACGGATCCCATTGGGATTTTGACCTCATCATGTTAAAAAAAACTCACTATTAGAGATTCAAAGATTCAAGATTCAACGGGTTTATGGTCATATGCCAAAGCTACAGTTAGAAATGGCAATTAAATGATTCGGCCCTGAGCTCCTCAACATGCAACATAAATAATAAAATACAAATGCAGAAAGTCTATATACATGTCAATAGAATATGGGATATGTAGAAAAACTGAATATTCAATTACATAATGTAAATTAAGACAAAATTAAATACGGTATATGTTTGAACGCATTGACCCATTAAAATACATATTTACCGTAGATTTGTTTTTTTATATACTGTGGGCTGCCATTATGTACGGCGCCGGGGAGCAGTGTAGGGAACGTGCCTTGCTCAGGGACACCTCGGTAGTCTTCCGGGACTTGAACTGGTGACCTTCCAGTTGCCAAGCCAAGTCCTATGACTTCGCCACCACCGCCCTATGATAGTGGCACATTCAGCAACACGTGTATCACTTGCTCTGTGTTAATATCTTTGACTTTCCAGATCATTAATTAAGACTCTGTAATGAGGTTTTTAATCCCAAACATGTATTAGGGTAATTGTCCTTGTTGGAACAACATTTGTGTTCAGTGGAGTGACTCCCTCCGCTTCGTTTCTACACCAAACCCTCTGACCTGAACACAACGAGCACAGAACTATTTCCAATCATCTCTTAAACAATTTGTCAAATGTCAGATGATGATTGTGTTGTTATGTTAAATGTTGATCATTAGGAAGCAATAGCAATTAGACCCGTGGCCTGTTGGGTCAACTGGCCCATAGTGCCATCATTTCTCTGCAAAGTAATGAGATATTCGTTGCTCCTGATTACCATTTGAGACATTTAAGGCGAATAAATACCCACTTTTCTTATAAATGTGGTTGAATTAGTCTCCAGCATATTAAATGCACTTTAAGTATATATTCAGCATTTTCATTAGTTTATTATTGTATACAAATATGTGAGAAACACTTTGTTTTATGGATAACAACATTTCCTGTGACTGTGATTTCATAAAGAGGTTTCAATTAAGGATTATCATTTGTGTTAATGATAATTAAAATGGAGTTCTCATTACACTTAATTCCAGTTAAATCCCATTAATTAAAATGTGTGTATTGCAAAAGCTAATCATGCAAAAAAGTGCTTTATTAGGAGGGATTTAAGTCAAAAATATTAATGACAAAAGTATCATTAATTCGTATTTGCTTGGGTTTAAAACAGTTTTGGAAATGAATTAGGAAATCAACAATGTCTTATTAACTCAGAAGAACATGTCACATGTAAGACACTAATTATACAAATTAAACCAGAAATTGCATAACATGGCCCCTTTAAATACTAAAACTCCAACATTACCTCATAGGGGTTTTCAATTATCTTTTAATCTGCAATTCATTCAGATGAATCTCAACACAATTAGTTTGGGAGTTTCTAAATTGTTACTGAGGAATGGGGGACTTATAAAATATTAATTATTTTCACTTCTTGGCATCCAGCTGAACCCCCGACACACTTCCTCCACTCTTTCTGAGTGTGTCAGCTTTATCTCCCCCCTTTCTGAGCTTATGGATTTCTTTCTTTCAGTAACACCACCTTTTTATTTCTTCTTTGTTTCAACTACTTGCTTCTTCAAAAAGTGGGTAAGTGCAAAAACTTGGAGAAGAAGAGAGGCAGGCTTTGTGTCTTGTGCTCGAGTTTGCCTCAGTGTTGACATCCTTGTTCCCTCTTCCAAATTTCCCTCCAGACGGCCCCCTTCTCGCCCCCATCTGTCTTTGGCTAACCTCCTTCGTGCCGTCCTTCCCTCCTAACGCATCTTGTCCAAGTGTCAGACCTCATCCCTTCTCCCCAGACTACAGTTCTCCGTCCAACTCATATCCTGAGACAAAGTGGCGCAGGCCTCAGATGGACTGGAGCTTGAGTAGTGCCAGAGATTAAAAAAAAACTTCACAAACAGGGCAGACAAATGTTGCCAAGGACCTCTGGCTCACTGCAGACTCCACAGAGGGAAAGTGAGTGTGGATGAAAGAGGACAGATCTTCTGAGTCAAGCTATCACACTGTGTCAGGGTCCCAGAGGGCAAGAGATAATCATAGCTCCAATAATGTGGTGCAGGAAGTCCTGACACTCTGAAATGAGTCAGAGTTGTACCACTTCCTGGTCACTTGTCTCAAAGTCCATAGGTTTTTTAATCTGTTTTGGATAGATGCCTGAAATAAGGTTTGTGGTTAACAAAAGCTGAAGAGATTTCAAAGTTGTATTCCCCACTGGACGACTAAACGCCATCACCGCGGGGTGAAGTCATGTGACGTGCTTAGTTCCTTTATAGCCCAACATTAGCCGCCTTTAGCTTAGCGGTGATGACGTGAAGTCATGTGACCGTGCTCTAGTTCCTTTATAGCCCAACGTTAGCCGCCTTTAGCTTAGCGGTGGTGACGTGAAGTCATGTGACCGTGCTTAGTTCCTTTATACCAACATTAGCCCCTTTAGCTTAGCTGTGGTGCGTGAATCATGTGACCGTGTGTAGTTCCTTTATAGCCCAACTTAGCCGCCTTTAGCTTAGCTGCGTGGTGACGTGAAGTCATGTGACCGTGCTGTAGTTCCTTTATAGCCCAACATTAGCCACCTTTAGCTTAGCGGTGGTGACGTGAAATCATGTGACCGTGATGTAGTTCCTTTATAGCCTAACATTAGCTTTTTATTTCTTGAAATTGGATTTACACTTTCATTATCGTGCTGAACAAGACATATGTATCATAGAAATGTATTTGCTAAATATTTTTATTTTATTTAATATTCTGAAATCCAATGGAAAAGTCCCATTGTCTTTTGTCGAGGGAGCCCTTGTGATGCTTACTTTAGGGTCTGCTTATTAAAACACGTCGTCACTGCACCATATGCAGACAGAATTAAAGTGAAACGCAAGACAAGGCAGGGAGAGACTTATTTGTTTTCTTGATAAACACGGAGTACTTTACCCTTTATTTTATAGAAGTCTGAACACAGCTGGCTTGAAAAAACGACATACCCATAACTGTATTGAATAAAGGGCTCAAAAATCTAGAATTGAAAGCAAGGCAAAGAGAGTGTACTGTACATGTAAATGGGAAGGAAGTAAAAGG